TTTGGTACCGGAGATCAAACTCGGGTCCTTGCTCTTGCACAGCAGGCAACGAAACCACTGAGCTAAATCCCCGGCCCAAACTAGATGTTTTTGTCAGCAAGATTTTTAATTTTTTAAAATATACTTTATTACATTATATATATATTTTTTATATCTATTTTATATATTAGGGGGGTACCAGGAATTGAATGCGGAACCTTGCGCTTTCGAGGAAGGTCAAGGTTTATTTTTATTTTTTTGATACCTCGGGATTGAACTCAGGACCTTGCGCTTGGGAGGCAGGTGGCAGAACCACTGAGTTAACCACCCCCATCAGCAGTTTTTTGTATAAGCTGAATATAGTTTGTTAAATCATTTTAGTCAAATTTATGGAGCACTTAATAGTTAATAAGAATATTTTTTGTGTGTGTATGTGGTGCTAGAGATCGAACCCAGGGCTTTGTGCATGGTAGGCAAGTGTTCTCTCGCTTGATACATCCCCAGGCCCATGTGGAAGTGCACAGTGAATAGTTCTCTCTGTGTCATAGGAAAACTCTTGCAGTGTCTTATACTTAAACTAGAAATTTTACTAGAATGAGATAAATGAAGTATTTTAAAATTTTCGTTTAGTAAAAATTGGCCTGCGTCATCCAGATGCTGTAGTGGAAACTAGTTCTTTATCCAGTGTCACTCCTCCTGATGTTTGGTATAAAACATCCATCTCTGAAGAAACCATCGACAGTGGCTGGTTATCAGCATTACAGCTTGAGGCAATTACATATGCAGCTCAGGTAAGCATTGTGCATAATTACATTCAATAGTTACTGTTTTGTGTTCGTCTATACAAAGTAGTGTGTCTCTTCCTCCCACCCCCCATCGAACTCAGGACCTTGTGCTTGCAAGGCAGGCTCGGTGCCACTGAGCTAAATCCCCAGCCCCCGTACAATGTAGTTTTTAAAAAATTATTATTATTATTATTATTTTTTTTTCTTTTTACAATGTTTTAATTCAAAGGAAAACTTTCCTTGTATGGAAAACTTCCTCATTGTGGTTTTTATAGAAGTTTTATGTGTTACAAAATGAGACGATATATGAGATGGGCAGAGTGTATTTCTTGTGGAAATGATGAATGCTATAACATTTTTGTACTGGAAATACCTATAAAATTTTAGAATGCAGTGATACCTGCCTATCTTTGTTCACAGTAGGTAAATTTTGAAAGTCTATGTACCTATCAACAGCTGAATGGATAAAAAAAATGTATATATACACAGTGAAGTACTATTCAGCCATAAAGAAGGATAAAGTCGAGTCATTTGTAGGAAAGTGGATATATCTGGAAACCACAGTGTTAAGTTAAATAAATGAGGCATAGGAGAGGTTAAATATTGCATGGTTTCTCTTACATGAGAAATCCAAAATGTAAATAATTTAAAGAGCAAAATCAAAGATGATAGAGAACAAAATTAAAAATGTATATATCTTTCAACCTAACAATTCCATTGCTAGGAGTGTGTTCCTTTGATAAGAATGGAGATAGATATAGATATAGATATATCTATATCTATATCTATATATATAGATATAGATATAGATATATATGGACCCCTCCTTGCCCCCACTGGAACAGTTTGACTGCCTGCAGTGTTGGGTGTGATTGAATAAACTGCCTGTGTACCATGCTGTGTAGGGTATTGTAGTGGCTTTAAAAATTACATGAGATAGAATTAAAAGCAATTTTCTTGCTTTGGATTTTGGTCATGCTCCATTTGTAAAATAAGTAATGATTCACATAGGCAGTTATCCCCCATAGTTAGGTGTGATATATGTTAGTATTTGATTATGCTAGTGTCAAAAGGGGTGTGAAAGGCTTCTCAGCAGTTTGTCAGTTTCTTGGTGCAGCTAGGCATGGTGCTGCACGTCTGCAATCCTAGCACTTGGGAGACTGAGGCAGGAGGATGGCCATGAGTTCAAGGTCAGCCTGGGCTACGTAGCGAGACCTTCTCTCAAAAAAAAAAAAAAAAGATTTCTTGGTGCAAGGGAGGGTAGCAGGAAAGAATATATAGTAAATCTATAGAAAGTATCCACACTACTAAAGGCCAAACCTTATGCCATTTATGTAACAAAAGGTGAGTAGGTATATTCCTGAATCTATGTATGAAAGATTAATCAAAATATATGAAGGGTTAGTTACAAGCCTTCTCTTTTTCAGCAACATGAAACATTCCTACCTAATGGAGATCGTGCTGGCTTCTTAATAGGTGATGGTGCTGGTGTAGGGAAAGGCAGGACAATAGCAGGAATCATCTATGAAAATTATTTGTTGAGTAGAAAGAGAGCATTGTGGTAAGTGTTGGGGACTGGTTGTGGAAGGCTTCATTTGTGAACAGTTTGGCATGTGGGAATGGATTTAAAAGACCTGGCATTACTGGATTTCAACCTGCCAAAGATTAAAACTAGATCCATATCTATCACCATGCACTAAACTAAGATTGAAGTGGATTAAAGATCTAAATATTAAAACAGAAACACTAAACTTACTGGAAGATAAGTTAGATAGAACTGTTGAAGAAATTGGCATAGGAAAAGACTTTATGAACAAAACCTAGCACAAAGAATCAACAACTGGGATCTCATCTTATTAAATTTGTGTGGGGGCTGGGGATTTAGCTCAATGGTTCCACCACCTGCCTTGCAAGTGGAAGGACCCGAGTTCGATCCCCAGTACCAAGAAAACAAAACCCAAAAACAACAACAAAAAATTACAAAGCTTCTGCACTGAACCACCAACAGAACTAAGAGACAACCTACAATGTGGGAAAAAATTTTTAGTAGCTGTTCCTCAGACAAAGAACTACTATCTAGAATATATAAAGAACTTAAAAAAGTCAGATCCCCCAAATTTAAAGACCCAATTCAAAAATGGCCATCTGAAATGAACAGACATTTCTCAAAACGAAGTAAAAGCAGCAGATAAACATATGAAAAAATGTTCACCATCACTGGTCATTTGAGAGATGCAGATGAAATTGACAGTGAGATTCCACCTCACCCCAGAAAGAGTGGCTGCTATCAAGAAATCAACCAATAACAAATGCTGGCAGGGGTGTGGGGAGAAAGGAACCCTTCTCCATTGTTGGTGGGAGTGCAGACTGGTGCAACCACTGTGAAAATCGGTATGGAGATACCTCAAAAAACTAGGACTAGAGGTCCCATTTGACCCAGCTATTCCCCGGCTGGGTATCTTCCCAAAGGAATTAAAAGAATTATACCACAGCGATATATGCACACCCATGTTTATAGCAGCACAGTTTGTAATAGCTAAGGCTTGGAGGGCTGGTGATTTAGCTCAGTGGTTCCACCGCCTGCTTCCCAAGTGCAAGGTCCTGAGTTCAATCCCCGGTACCAAGAAAAACAAAAGCTAAAGCTTGGAAACAGCCCAAGTGCCCATCAACTGGAAACTGATTAAAGATGATGTTTTGTTATAAAATGGAGTACTACTCAGCCACAAAGAATGAGAAACTAGAGACATTTATAGGTAAATGGATGCATATTGAGGCCATCCTCTTAAGCGAAAGAAATAGGACACGTGTAAATACAGAATAGTTTCTCTGGTGTCAGAAACTGAACGTGTAAGGATTAAAATGAATAATTGATAATTTGAAATAGGAAGAAAAGGTCCAAAAAGGTAGGGGAAGTGGGAGGGGAAGGAGAAAGGAAAGAAGGGAAAGGAAAAATTATGAGAAAAGGAAAAAATGGCAACAAAGTCTTTATGAATAGGGAAGGGCACACAGGTAATGGGGAACAAATAAGAACCAAGATACATCATGTACAGGTACAAGCACCCAATGATAAACGTAAATATATTGTATACCTAAAATTACCAATAAAAGAATTTAAGGGAAAAAAAAGACCTGGCATTATTCCTAAATTCTGTTAGTGATGTAATTTGGATTTAATTTGTTCTTTTCTCTTTTTTTAATGACAGGTTTAGTGTTTCCAATGACTTAAAGTATGATGCTGAAAGAGATTTGAGGGATATTGGAGCAAAAAACATTTTGGTCCACTCATTAAATAAGGTATGAAAAACTCCTATTCACTTGTAATAGCTAAATGAGTTCAGTAAATACTGAACTCATCTGTAAGATGGGAAGAACAGTTTCTACTTTGTAGGGTTGTTATGAGGATTAAATGTGTTATTCCAAAGAAAGCCTGGCAAGTGCAGCCACTACTATCGGTTCATGTATTACTTTGCGCCAAGTACCATGCCAGGCAGTGGTTGTGTAGTGGTTGTGTAGGCATTGTCCCTGGTGCCTTGGAATTCTCTGTCTTTAGTTATTTTATCGTAGTTTCTCAAGTAATTTTATGTGGCTGTTGGGGTGCAGTGTGGGGAGGGGCTGTGCCTGTCGCTGCAGGGCACCAAATCCTGTACAGCCCATCAAGGACCTTGAGATTAGAGACTGGGTTCAGTATTCGTCTCACTGGTGGTCTTGACTGCATGTACCTGTGTTCATGGCAAAACAGTTCGGAAAAAGGAAATGGGGATTGGTTCCTAAAACACAGTTTAACGTGATTAGAATCTTGATGTTCAGTTAGGAAATTTTTTTTTTTTGTACTGGGGATCGAACCTCAGGGTCCTTGTGCTTTCGAGGCCAGGCGGCGGAAGCACTGAGCTAAATCCCCGACCCTGGTTAGGAAATATTTATTACACACTGTTGGTTATAAAGGTAAAACAGACAAATACGATTCCTATGAGTGCCTTCCTACTAGCCCTAGAAGATAAGTAAATACAAATGTACTTTCCATGTGAGTTCCAAGTTGGTTCATTGTCTTACTCAGTGGATTGAGAGCTTAAAGTACTGTTCTGAGTGATATGTATGAACAGTTTGAAACTGAAACCATGCAGGTAGGACCTGTGATTGCTTCTTATTTTTGAGCAGTGTAATCAAAGGGAGGTTACATTAACTAGTATTCTTTCAGAACTTAATCAGAGTGCTTTACTATAGTAAGTGCATAGTAAGTATTTGTGGGGTAAATTCTGTGATTTCTTTCTACAGAGGAGTTTGGTTTTTATTTAAAGTGATAGACTTTTTTTTTTTTTTTTTTGTACTGGGGATTGAATTTAGGACTTGGCACTTGCCAGGCAGGCGTGGTGCCACTGAGCTACATTCTTGGCCTGTGATAGACTTTCTTGAGATTTTGTTTTTGGTACCGGAGATCGAACTCCGGTCCTTGCACTTGCACAGCAGGTGGTGAAACCATTGAGCTAAATCCCCAGCCCCTTTCTTGAGATTTTGAAAATGGAATACTTATACCATATTGTTTGTGTGTGTGTGTGTTTGCATGCACATGGATACGTGTTTATGCATAAGTAATTTTGTGTTGTATCTTAGAAAGCGTTTGAGTTTTTTGAGCCTCTCATCAGCCTGTCTGGTTAAGAAGTCCTGCTGTACAGCTTTGGGTCAGATAAATGTTTCCTAGACTAAAGTCTTGTCTTTTCTGTTTTTAGTTTAAATATGGAAAAATTTCTTCCAAACATAACGGGAGTGTGAAAAAGGGCGTGATTTTTGCTACGTATTCCTCCCTTATTGGTGAAAGCCAGTCTGGTGGTAAATATAAAACTAGATTAAAACAACTTCTGCATTGGTGTGGTGATGACTTCGATGGAGTGGTATCCTTTATGACAACTTTGTTTATATATTTATTTGTTTGTTTGTTTGTTTGTACTGGGGATCAAACTCTGGACCTTGTGCTTGCAAGGCAGGCGGCAGAACCACTGAGCTAAATCCCTGGGCCTGTGTTTATATTTTTTAATGGCACAGAAGTATAAAACGACAGACTTTTGGCAAAGGGGAATCCTGAGATTAGATGAACAGATTGTTGGGATGAGAGTTTTACTGATTAGATTCCCAGGGCCTAGAATGTTGATTCTGTTCTGTCAGATGGGATACCGGTTTAGGAAAAGATGAGTGGTAAGAATGCTGAATATGCTGTCACTCGTGTGAGCATTCAAAGTAAATGGTGAGGTACCTGAGGTACCAAGAGAAAGAGGAATGTTAATTTTGTGATTCTGAAATGTATTGCTCACAGTTTATCGTATATTATCCTGTGTGAAGCACACCACGTTGTCAAATGCTGGTTAAGTTGATTCCCAGTCACACTTTCACTGGTACGGATGGATTTTTACCAGCACAATCCGTGGTGGACAGTTCTTGCTGCAGAGGATCCTTTCCTGTGTCCTAGTTAGAAATTCAGGGCCTGGGGATTTAGCTCAGTGGTTCTGCCGCCTACCTTGCAAGCACAAGGTCCTGAGTTCAATCCCTGGCACCAAAAAAAAAACTAACAAAAAAAAGAAATTCAGTGCCTGGCTAAGATAAAAACGGTACCGGTCAGGGTCTGCCTCAGAGACTGGGTCAGGGGAGCTGATACGGGGGAGAGGCACATGGAGGGCTTCCTTTATGTGTGTAGAGAAAAAGCCACCTGAAACTTTGGGGAAGTAAAAGTTAACGCTTCCTAAAAGTTGGTAGACCTTTACTATAAGGTGGTACATTCCCTAACTCATTCCTTACAGATAGTGTTTGATGAATGTCATAAAGCAAAAAACTTATGTCCTGTTGGTTCTTCAAAACCCACGAAGACAGGCTTAGCAGTTTTGGAGCTTCAGAACAAATTGCCAAAAGCCAGAGTTGTTTATGCAAGTGCCACTGGTGAGTATTATTTAATTTAAAAAGTGTATATAAATTTTCTTTGCAGCTATAATATATTTGGGGATTTTCCAGGTGCTTCGGAACCACGCAACATGGCCTATATGAACCGCCTTGGAATCTGGGGTGAGGGGACTCCATTTAGAGAATTCAGTGATTTCATTCAAGCAGTGGAGCGCAGGTAATGCAGCCTGTGGTGCACCCCATTTTCAGTAGCACTTGGACAGATGTGTTACTGCTAAACCTGTCACTGTGCATTAAAGTCCTAGCTTATTTCTTGATAGTTACTGTGTGTTTCAATTTTCTTCAGAGGTGTCGGTGCTATGGAAATAGTTGCTATGGATATGAAGCTCAGAGGAATGTATATTGCCCGACAGCTGAGTTTTACTGGAGTGACCTTCAAAATTGAGGAAGTTCTTCTTTCTCAGAACTATGTTAAAATGTATAACAAAGCAGTGAAGCTGGTGAGAAGTGTTTAATTCCCAACGTTTTTAATGTACTGATAATCCCTGGCTCCCGTGGTACCAGGGATCAAACTCAGGACCTTGTCCTTGTGAGACAGGTGCGGTGCCACTGAGCTAAATCCCCAGCCTGTACTGATAATCTTTGTTAGTTTTGTCCATTGTAATAATGTCTTTCAGTCCACAGAAACGCATTTCTGCTGTAAAATGACAGGGGCATTGCCCTACAATAGGCCATTTAACCAATATCTTTATTTTCCAAAATTTCCAATTTTCAATTTGTTAAAGTGATCCATAAAAAAAATAGCCATTTACTTGAGTGATGTACTTCTCAAAATAGCATTGTATATAAATGTATTTTCTAAAATGGGTGTCTTTGGTAGTAAGAATTTTTTCTCGTACCGGGAATTGAACTCAGGACCTTGCACCTGCAAGGCAGGTGCGGTGCCACTGAGCTAAATCCCTGGCACAGTAGTAAGAATTTTAAGACAACTCTGTATGATCATTGTATAAACAATTGTTTAGAGCTCTCCAAGTTACTGAAAATTATTTTTTTCCTGGTACTGGGGATTGGACTCAGGACTTTGCACTTGTCAGGCAGGGGTGGTGCCACTGAGCTAAATCCCCAGCTATTTTTAATTGAAGGTCATTTTAAAATAACTATTTAAAGATGAAACATGTAAAATGTTGGTTTTGTGTCTCTAGTGGGTCATCGCCAGAGAGCGGTTTCAGCAGGCTGCGGACCTGATTGATGCTGAGCAACGAATGAAGAAGTCCATGTGGGGTCAGTTTTGGTCTGCACACCAGAGGTTTTTCAAGTACTTGTGCATAGCATCCAAAGTTAAGAGGGTTGTGCAGCTAGCCCGGGAGGAAATCAAGAATGGAAAAGTAAGTTGCAGAACACATTCAAAGATTGATTCTTTTTGCTTACGTTGATTTTGTGGGTGTGACGTTTTACATTTATAAAGTTAAGACTTTCTGAAAGATAGTTATAAAAACACTAATGTAGTAAGACTTAAAAATACATTTTTTAAAAAATATAAAAGCAGAACCTGTTTAGATCATTTAGATAGTTCGAAGTATAAAAAATAAGTATCACTCCATTTGGCCATTACCACTGATAACCACTGACCCACTGATAATGTATTGCTTGAAGCCAGCCTCCCTCCTTCCCTCTTGAGATTGAACCCTGGGACACTCTACTGCTGACCTACATTTCCAGCCCTTTTAAAATTGGAGATTGAACCCAAGACCTTTGCACTGAGCTACTTCCTCAGGCCTTTTTAAGTTTTTATTTTGATAGAGGGTCTCACAAAGTTGCTCAGGGCAGGCTGAAACTTGAGGTCTTCTTTTTGGTTTTTTTGAGACAAGGTTCAGCCTGACCTTGAACTCACTGTATAGCCCAGGGTGACCTCAAGCTCAACAGCCTCAGCAGCAGTCCTTCTGCCTCAGCCTCTCGAGTGCTGGGATTATAAGTGCACTACCACTCGTGACCACAAATTTGATATCTTCTTGCCTTAGCCTCCCAGAGTCCTAGAACTACAAGTGTGTGCCACCATACCCAGCTGATTTTTTCTTTTTGATGACTGTGTCTATTTAAAACACAAGGGGTTATAAATCCCATAAGGGCGGGGGCTGGGGATGTAGCTCAGTGGTGCTGCGCCTGCCTTGCAAGTGCAAGGTCCTGAGTTCAATTCCCGGTACCCCCAAAAAATAAATCCCATAAGGGCAGGGACATTAGTCATGCTCACTACTGTGTTCCATCTCCTGTTTGAAGCACATCTCAAATATATAGAATAAATAAATGCATTTCAAAATGATAGGGTTATTCTTTAAAGTCTTTATTTCTTACTAAATATGTAAAACGTCTTAAGATCATGATATACATTATAGTTAATAGTATATTAACTATTGTTATTGTCTAATTTTGTTATGAAATTTTATTTTTTATAGTGGTTTTTTTTTGATACCAGGGATCAAACTCAGGTCCTTGCACTTGCAAGGTAGGTGGCAGAACCACTGAGCCAAATCCCTGGCCCTATTTTTTATAGTGTTTTTGTATTTTCTTTATTAATAGATGTATTTGATAAAGTCAAAAAAGGTTAAAAAAATAAAATTGTCTAACAAGTGTAGTTTTATTTATAGCTACTGTACTTTCTTTTTCCTAGTGTGTTGTAATTGGTCTGCAGTCTACAGGAGAAGCTAGAACATTAGAAGCTTTGGAAGAGGGTGGAGGAGAATTGAATGATTTTGTTTCAACTGCCAAGTAATGTTTTTATGTTATTTCTGAGTTTTTCACTTAGATTAGTTCAGATGTTGACATTTCCTTGACACAGTTTTGATCACCTGTGTATCATCTTTAAAAGTTTTCCTCATTGAATTTTTTGCCATTTTGTGTTTTCCTGTATTACAGTATAACCATTACAAAAGTCACATAGAAAAGTCATAATTCTGAAATATGTTACACATTTTGTCAATATTTATTATAATATATGGATTAACATAAGTATTTGATTCTTTTTTAAACATCTTGGAAATCTGTGGCAGTATGGCTTAGTTTTAGTTTCAGATTTGTGCATTTGTAATTACCATTGTTTTCTAGAGGAGGAGTATCTAGTTTGTCCTTATACCGTAAAATCTGCTGTAAAAATTGGAAATTAGACAAGTGATCTTCAAAAACTGTTGAAAATGTTATCTGTTGGGGCTGGGGGGTTTAGCTCAGTGGTTCCACCACCCGCCTCACAAGTGCAAGGTCCTGAGTTCAATCCCCGGTACAAAAAAAAAATGTTATCTCGGGCCAGGGATTTAGCTCAGTGGCGCCGTGCCTGTATCACAAGCACAAGGACCTGAGTTTGATCCCCGTTACCAAAAATAAATAAAGAAATAAAATGTTATCTCTGACAGTAAAATAAGCAACCTAGTTCCTGCCACTGTAGATCTCTTCTTTTGTGGATACTTTTAAGTGCTGCTTTGAAGGTAGATATAATTGAAAACTACTTTTATTTTTGTTTTGGTTCCTCAAGACAGGGTCTTGCTGTGTAGTCCAGGCTGGCCTTAAACTCACTATGTAGTGGCTCCTCTTGAAGTCATGGTGACCCTTCTGCCTCAACCTCCCAAGTGCTGGGATTACCTGAGTGCACTACCACGCCTGGCTTAAAAACTATTTTCAAGAGCAGAACTTGCTGTATTTTTCTGTACTTTCAACTCCCCTGAAGTGCCACTCATCCTGTGCTTACTGATCAAGTGAAGTGAGTGGTCTAAGTTTAGTTGTACTGTAAGTGTAGAATATATAACAGATTTGAAAGATTCCTTAAAAAATGATGTAAAATACCTTACTCATCACACAGTGGAATAGTATGTTGAGTTACATAAAGTATGTTATTAAAATTGGTGCTAGGCATGGTTGCAGATGCTTGTTATATGAACATTCAGGAGCCTGAGCCCGGAAGATTGCTGGGAGTTTGAGGCCAGCCTAGACTACATAGCAAGACTATCTCAGAAGTTATTTTAGTTTCACCAGTTTCCTTCTTCTTCATTTTTTTTTATAAATAATGAATTTTATTGTGGGTCTTTAGTTTTTTAATGAGATAGGGTGGTCTTGGCTGTTGCCCAAGCTCAAAATCTGGCTCAAGTGATCCTCCTGTCTCAGCCTCCTAAGTAGCTGAGACTATAGATGTGTGCCACTATACCTGTTACTTTTTTTTGGTACTGGGGATCGAACTCAGGACCTTGCGCTTACAAGGCAGGCGCCAGAACCATTGAGGTAAAGCCCTGGCCACTATTACTTTTTTTTTTTGTACCAGGGATCGAACTCGGGTCCTTCTGCTTGTGAGGCAGGAGGCAGAACCACTGAGCTAAATCCCCGGCAGTGTCTCACTATGCAGTTTAGGGTGGCCTTGAACTCATGGTGCTCCACTTGCCCCAGATTTCTAAGTGCTGGGATTACAGGCATGCGGCACCACACATGGCCTATTACTTTTTCTTTTTTTTTTTTTTTTTTGAGTACCAGGGATTGAACTTGGGTCCTTGCGCTTGTGGGGTAGGTGGCGGAACCACTGACCTAAATCCCCGGCCCTCTGCTATTATTTAAAAAAAAATTTTTTTTATTTTTGGTACCGGGGATTGAACGCAGGACCTTGTGCTTTCAAGGCAGGTGGCAGCACCACTGAGCTAAATCTCTGGCCCCTATTACTTTTTAACATAGCTACTTAGAAAATGTAAAAATTTTTTAGAAAGAAGAAAATGTAAAAATTCCATGTGTGGCTTGGGTTGCATTTTACTTTAGTGGGATAGGTTGGCCTTGAAAATTCAAATGCACTTGAGGGGAGATACCAGTATTTTCTAAGATTGAACAAGTATAGTTCTTTTAAAGCAATATATTCAATATATTCATACTCCGTAGTTTGTGATTTTGTCAGGTGAAGCAGTAATTGTCACTGTCCCTCTCCTACAGAGGAGTGTTGCAGTCACTCATTGAAAAACACTTCCCTGCTCCAGACAGGAAAAAACTGTATAGTTTGCTGGGAATCGATCTGACAGCTCCAAGTAACAACAGTTCACCAAGAGATAGCCCTTCTAAAGAAAATAAAATGAAGAAACGGAAAGGTGAGTGCCCAAAGTTGCTCCTACAGGCGCTATGGATGTGAGCACTTCGAAGCAGCAGTATTTTGCGAATGCACTGCTTTCCTTAAACTAGCAAGTTGTATATTTTCAGTGTTGGTTATGTCCTTTTTTTTTTTCATTAAGTTTATTGGTACATTTTAGGTATATAATACAGTTATATTCATCATTGGAATCGTGTACCTTTATATGATTTTTTTTGGGTACCGGCGATTGAACTCGGGACCTTGCACTTGCAAGGCAGGCAGCGGAACCACTGAGCTAAATCCTTGGCCCTCTAAGCTTTAGCTATTACAAACTGTGCCGCTATAAACATGGGTGCGCATATATCGCTGTGGTATGATTCTTTTAATTCTTTTGGGAAGATACCCAGCAGGGAATAGCTGGGTCAAATGGGACCTCTAAGCCTAGTTCTTTGAGGTATCTCCATACTGATTTCCACAGTGGTTGCACCAGTCTGATCATTTACTTTTCAATGTACAAGTAACTCTTTTAAATTAGAACATGAACAGTTGACTGGTGCTGGGCACATAGTTCTTAACCATATGTTTATCATTTAGGAAACTTAGGAAGCTAGGTCTTATTTTTCCAGTTTTATAGACAGGAAACTAAAGCACAGAAAAATTAATAGGTTAAGAAATGCTTCCAGATTCACATAACTAATGAATGATGTATGGCAGCTAAAATATAGGTCTCTCTGTTGTCAAAGCTGCCTTTTAAGAAACTCAGAACTGGGTGGAGAGGACTGTGAAGAGGCTTGGGTTATTGAATTACCAGGAGCACACTCCTCTATGTTGACAGTTAGTGATATACACTTTAGTTTGCTGTTTGACTCTCAAAGGTTAACTACTCAACCTCTTTTTCTCTGAAATGGTATAGCTAGTGTAATACACTTTAAAGATTAACTGTTGAATCTTAGTATTTTCTCTTAGTATTTTCAAGGCCCAGGGTTCAATGCTCAGCATTACTCAAAATAAATTGATAAATATTTATAAATAGATCTGTAGTGCTGTGTATTCTAAATGCCTGACCTTATTCTAAATGCCTTAACCTTATTTCATCCATTTTGGATACATATTTCTACATTTTTATTATGCCTAAACATTAGTTGGCTCTTATAGTTTTATTTTGGTTTGATTTTGTGGGACAGGGTCTTACCATGTACTTCAGGCTGTCCTTGAGTTCACTGTGTAGCCCAGGTTGGCCTCAAATTCTTGGTGATCCTCCTGACTCAGTTTCCTGAGTGCTGGGATGCTGGAATTACAGGTGTGTGTCACAATACCTGGTGGCTATTATAGTTTAATTGGCAATTTAAAAAAACATTTTAGTGGCACAAAAGATAAGTGGTATCATAAAATGACTAAATGTTTGTGTTTTGCTTTCCTGAATTAGGTTCTCACCATCTCTTTAATACTAGAACTTTTTCATGTTCTTAGTTTGGGTTAATTCCAGATGTCTTTTCTGAATATTAAATAAGATAATTCAAACCAGCACCTTGTGGACCTTCCAGAAAATGAGGTTTTAAGTCTGGGAAAATTAACTCAGTGGTAGAGCTCCTAGCATGTGTGAGGCCCTGGGTTAAATCCTCAGCACTTGAAAAAGAAAAAGGTTTTATGAATTGCTTTTTCTCCATATTCCGTGGCTGTGAACCTGTACTTCTCTAGGCTCCTCATACACAGTTACATGGTGACTGCCAGGGTTCTGTTTTAGCTGTGCTGAGTCAGGTTTGAAACTTGTGCACTTGAAAGCTGTACTGTTTTAAGTCTGTATTTGGGTATCTGATTTCTTGGGAGTCACTGAGCAGAGCCTACCCTCTTAGGGGATTCTAAAGAGTGCTTGCTGGAGGGCTGGGGATTTAGCTCTGTGGTTCCGCCACCTGCCTTGCAAGCGCAAGGTCCTGAGTTTGATCCCCGGTACCAAAAAAAAAAGAGTGCTTGCTGGAGAGCTTTGTTTTTACATCTTTTCCCTCTGCACTTGTCACTTGAATCATTCATGAACTAAATGTGATGTTCTAGAGCTTTAGAAACATGTTATTTCAGCTAAGGATCTTATTTGGGTCTCTACTAGGTGAAGAAATAACTCGAGAAGCCAAAAAAGCACGAAAAGTTGGTGGCCTCGCAGGTAGCAGTTCTGATGACAGTGGAAGTGAGTCTGATGCCTCTGACATTGAAGAAAGTGACTACGAGAGCTCTAAAAACATGAGCTCCGGTGATGACGATGATTTCAACCCCTTTCGAGACGAATCTAGTGAGGGTGATGAAGATGGTGAGTTCATCCTTCAAGGCAAATGCCAGGCAGTCTCACTCCAAGGTAGTGGAAAGGGCGTGTTGCGTTAGGACCTTCTTCCTGTGCAACACAAAGGATCACACAGACTAACCTTTGCCCAGTGGAGAGCTCCAGATAGATCTGTCTCTTGCTGGTTTGAGCCTCACAAGTGAGATTCTGATCTCAGTTTCGTGTAGTTACTTATTTTTGTTAGTCCATCTTTATCGTGCATAATGATTACATTCATCATGCGGAGTTGCCACATGTATATGACACAGTTTAATTCTTTATAGGTTCCCTTCCCTTCCCCCTTCCCTCCCTCTTCCTCCTACAGTTATTTTTCACATCAAAATGTGGAATGATACCCAGTGGTGTGTGGATGGGATATATTGGGCTACTATAGTTGGTAATGATTTACAAGTAATCAGGTAATAGTACAAAAAAAAAAAAATTCAAGGTTGAGCCTCATATAGTAGTAGACACCTTTAATTCCAGCTGCTTAGGAGGCTGAGGCAGGCGGATCCACAAGTTCTATGCCAGCCTGGCTGACTTAGTGAGACTTTGTCTCAAAATAAAATAAGGGGGGGCTGGGGATTTAACTCAGTGGTTCCGCTGCCTGCCTGACAAGTACAAGGTCCCGAGTTTGATCCCCGGTACCAAAACAACAACAACAACAACAAAAAACGGGTGTAGTGCAGTGGCAGAGCATTTGGAGGCCCTATGTTTGATCCCTAGTTACCACCCCACAAAAATCAAGGGTTATGTCCTTTGAAGGTACTATATTTATTTTAACCAGTAATTTGACATGCATTTTTCCTTATCTTTCAGATCCTTGGTTAATCAGAAAAGACCATAAGAAAAACAAAGATAAAAGAAAGAAGAAAAGTATAGATCCAGATTCTATTCAAAGTGCCTTATTAGCATCAGGTCTCGGATCAAAACGACCTAGTTTTTCATCTACACCAGTTATCTCACCTGCTCCTAATAGTGCACCAGGTATTCATGTAGAAACTTGCTTTATCTGTGAAATATGCTTTTACATAAAACCAGATCCTCTGTGCAGTGACCTTGGACGAATATTCTTTCCCTAGCTAATAGTAACGCCAGCAGTAACAGCAGCCTTATAACAAGTCAGGATGCTGTGGAGAGGGCCCAGCAGATGAAGAAAGACCTACTTGAGAAACTGGAAAAGTTAGCTGAAGATCTCCCTCCAAATACCCTGGATGAACTTATTGATGAGCTGGGTGGCCCTGAGAATGTGGCTGAGGTAAACCTTACTGGATCAGGGCTGTTTTTCTTCTTGGTAACTTTTTTGTCACTTTTAAATCCTATAAAGGAATGGTAGTCAAACCTTGTGGTCTGAGTGGTGTTTTGGGTATCATCCCAGTAATCTGTCTGGTTTCCTGTTGTAGATCTTAGAACAGTCATCTCACTTCACTTATGCGTCTAACACTGCTGCAGTCTTGTCCCCAGTATCTGAGTGCCCTGAGCCATGGGCCTTGGTTGCCATCCTTGTGGTGCATCTTGGGTGATGGTGGCCATGTGTCAGCTCTTCCTAGGGACTGTGTCACAGTGTGTTGTGTGCCTGGGACCTGGTGCTGGCACCAAGGTTTCTTCAGTGAAGGGGCTGGTGCTGAGTTTCATGTATGCAGTCAGGTGCCTGAGTCATCAAGAAGCTGTTTGCCTTTCCAGATGACTGGCCGAAAAGGGCGGGTTGTGAGCAACGACGATGGAAGCATATCTTACGAGTCAAGATCTGAACTTGATGTGCCAGTGGAAATACTAAACATTACAGAAAAACAAAGGTTTATGGATGGCGATAAGGTATATTTTGCTAAGATGCTTTTCATGGAGAAGAATGATTTCCATGGTTTACATTAAGCTTTAGAAAGGTCTTTACCTGGCCAGGTGTGGTGGCACATGCCTATAATCCCAGCTATTCTGGAGGCAGAGTCAGGAGGATTTTGAGTTTGAGGCCAGCCTGGACTACACTTGTGAGATCCTATCACAAAAACAAAAGCAACCCCAAAACAAAGTGTGACAAATCTCAAGACATCTACTGCCGTGTAATTTTGCATCTAGAATGATACTCAGTAGTACCCCAGATTGCTAGTATCCTGATATTTCCTGTTTTATTTATTGCTGTGCTGTGCTGTATTAGTAGGATTTACTGTGGATGGCTCCTAGATTGAAGCACCATGGAGGTCGTGGGCACCTCAGGGCCCTCCTGTGGACTGCATTTGTGTCAGTGCTGGAGAGGGAACCTAGGCCAGCGCCCGAAGTGAGCAGTGCTCAGCACTCACCCATGCCTCCCCTCCCAGCCCTGTGCACTCGTGAACTGAACTTCATCCAAGTGGGGTTTTCAAATCTGTTCTCCCTCTGATTGGATAATTCTGAACATTTATTTGCCCAGGAGATTGTTTGAATAATACATGATACCCCTTCAAAACAGTAAAAATTTAACCGTATTGCCTGTGTCTTGCTTTATATTTGAGAGAACTTTTCTGCCTCTGGAACTAGAAAATTTAATAGGTGCCACTATCAGTATTACCTTAAAAGTATGTCATAAAGCTACTGCTACATATTTCAAAAAGTAGGAAGAAGCCAGGTGTGGTGGTGCTCGGCGGTAATCCCAGCACTCGGGAAACTATGGCAGGAGGATCATGAGTTCTGGGCTAGTCTGGACTACATTGCGAGATCCTTGGATGTAGCTCAGTGGCACCATGACTGCCTGGCAAGTGCAAGGTCCTATGTTTGATCCCCAGTCACAAAAAAATGAAAACAAAAATTGGCTTAAACAAGCTCAGTGTTACTCTTATGTGCATGTTTGTGTACATAGACCAGGGCTGGCATGGCCCCTTGTAAACCAGGCCTCTTTTTCTTTTTAGTACCAGGGATTGAATTCGGGTCCTTGCGCTTGCAGGGCAGGCGGTAGAACCACTGAGCTAAATCCCCGGCCCTCTCTTTCTTTTTCAAAGAGACAGGTTTTTCTATGTTCCCAAGCTGGTCTCCAACTCCGGGGCACAAGGGATCCTCTTGTCTCAGTCTGGAGGAGCTTGGACTATAGGGAGACTCCACAGCACCCCGCTGCTTGTTTCCTTAGTTATGGGATCCTCCAATTTCAAGTTGCCTCTGTGTCCGCAAGACTGCTTGGTTAGGGTTAGGTGTGTGGCTCAGTGAGTGATAGAGCACTTAACAAGCACGTGGGAGGCCCTGGGTTCAATCCCCAGCACTGCAAAAACAAAACCCAGCTGTTTCTTTTCATCTAGCAGGGAGAAAGGTTTGCTCTTTCCTTTTAAGGAAGTTTCTTGGACATTGTACCTGTCAGACAGACCCTTTGGGGTAAAGTGTGCCCACATGTTTATAGTTAGCAGGAAGAGACTGGGAGTGCTAACCTTGATTTTGGGTAGCTGTAGAGCAGCTGCGGCGAGAGTCCTGTTACCAAGGAAGGCCACAGAAGGTGTTTATACGTTTAGGGTCCTGCTCTACTTGTCTTTGTGCAGAGGTGATTTTTTTTTTTGGTACTGGGGATCGAACTGGAGTCCTTGCGCTTTTGAGGGAGCGGCACCGCTGAGCTAAATCCCTGGCCCAAGAGGTGATTTTTTTTTTTTTTCTCCTAAATTTGATGCAGAATATTGCTATCATCTCAGAAGCTGCCAGCTCGGGTATTTCCTTACAAGCAGATCGCAGAGCTAAAAATCAAAGGCGAAGAGTTCATATGACTCTGGAATTACCCTGGAGCGCTGATAGAGCAATTCAACAATTTGGTAAGTTCTTGCCCTGAATTTCACTTGGTGGACGGCTGGAAATCATTGGGGAAATGTGTATCAAGGTCAGACATTTTAGAACATGAAGCCTTTGATATTGCATGTTTTTAAAATGTATAGTGCACTGTGAAGTCATTTCTTGCTTGTTTTTTTGTTGGTTTTTTTTGGTACTGGGGATTGAACTTGGGTCCTTGCGCTTGCACAGCAGGCGGCGAAACCACTGAGCTAAATCCCCAGCCCACTTGCTTGTTTTTTTAATTATTATTTATTTATTTATTTATTTATTTATTTATTTATTGTTTTGTATTGGGGCATCGAACTTGAGACCTTATGTTTTTGAGGCAGGCGCTAGATCCACTGAGCTAAGTGCCCAGCCCTCTTGCTTGGTTTTTTTTTTTTTTTTTGGTACCAGGGATCGAACTCAGGTCCTTGCACTACTTGCGTGTCCTTTTCAACCTTCAGTCGCCCCGCTGAACGTACATTGTTGCTCCCTTCTCATCCATTTCATGTTCCAGTCGCCTGGAGATTGAAAAACAACTGAGGGAGAATTGAGTGTCCATCATCAGCTTTCTTGTTAACCAAAACTAGAGTATCAATAAAGTTTGTGTGGTATAACAGTTTCATGGCAAGTTCTATTCCTTATAAGGGGGACTAGTGCTCTGAATATGGATGTCATTCAGGTCAATGTTTTCCCTTTTGTACTTTGGGGAGCTGTGCAAAATTATCTTTACTTTTTCCTCTTGCTTAATTGCTTGAGGGTGTTTTTCCAACTTAATGTTAAGTGCTAGAAATAGATCTCAGAATATTCTTTTTCTGTATAGTGAATGTAGTCACTGATCTCTATCACAATGTTGTTACAGGAAGAACTCACAGATCAAACCAAGTGACTGCTCCCGAGTATGTCTTTCTGATTTCTGAACTGGCGGGAGAACAAAGATTTGCCTCCATTGTTGCCAAAAGACTTGAGAGCCTGGTAAGGGTTTGAGTTGTGTAGATGTGAGTAAATGATGACCTGTGCTGGCGACTGACATGGCAGTAGAGGCTTAACTCCCTTTGGAAATGTTTTGCTAGGGGGCGCTTACACATGGTGACAGAAGAGCAACAGAATCTCGAGATCTGAGCAGATTCAACTTTGACAATAAGGTACATTTCAGCTTCAGCTCCTCTGCAAACTCAGAGGCATGTGTGGTTTGCAGTGATGAGCAGGGAAGGTCATTACCAACTGTTTCAAACAAAATGAAAACTCAGCCAGCATGTAGAGTGCATGAGTGCAGGCTGCCAGCACCTCAGAAGTAAAGCCTGGCAGGGAAGCAGAAAGCTCAGCCTGCCGTTAGGGTGAGCCTTAGCACAGCAGTGTCACCTGGACGCTGGGCCTTTAGCGAGCGTGCTGCAGTGCGGTCACCTTTCTGTTCCTTTTGGGAAGGGGAATAATAAGCACTGGGCAGTGGGTCAGGTGTGAGTTCCCAGAAGTCACCGTACGTATTAGCATACTGAACGCTGTATGCAGGAGCAAGTAGTTTGACACTGTAAGAAACAAAGATAACTGGGAGCTTTTTTGTGTGTGTGGTAGCAGGGATCACACTCAGGGCCTTGTGCTTGTGAGGCAGGTGCGGTGCCACTGAGCTAAATCCCTGGCCGGGAACTATTGTTTTTTAATTTATTTTATTTTATTTTTTTTGGTATCAGGGATCGAACTCGGGTCCTTGTGCTTGCACAGCAGGTGGGGAAACCACTGAGCTAAATCCCCAGCCCCTATTGTTTTTTAATTTTTGGTGCAATGGTAGTTTTTATAGAATTCTGACAATCTTGTGATTGAAGTGTCCAAATTCTAAAACTGGATAAAATTTTTTTTCTTTTCAGTATGGAAGAAATGCTTTAGAAATTGTTATGAAATCCATTGTAAATTTGGATTCTCCTATGGTATCACCACCTCCAGACTATCCTGGAGAATTCTTCAAAGGTAACCTAGAAAAGTTGTTATAAGCATGAAAAATGATTATGACAGATATGGTAAAAATCATTCTAACATTCATTCTTGTTTCAAAAGTTATTTTTCTTTGGACATAAACTGTAAAATTTAGAAATTTTAAGGTGACTAAAACATGTTTGCTTTTTATAATGAGTAGGTTTGTTAAAACTGGTTTTATGCCTATGAAAGTGCTTTTATTCTTTTTCTTTTTATATTGGGGATAGAACTCAGGTCCTTGCACTTGCGCAGCAGGTGGCAAAACCACTGAGCTAAATCCCTGGCCCCAGTACACTTTTAAAAATTGTTTTACTTTGACCTGTATCTAAGTTGTCCAGGCTAGGCTTGAACTTACGATCCTCCTGGCTCATCCTCCCAAATAGCTGGGTAATATTACAGGCATGTGCTATCATATCCAGCTTGGCTACAAGGTATTTTTTATAACTTTCTCTTTTTTGGGGGCAGGGTGCTACTGCATATTGAACCGGGGCCTTCACACTGAGCTACATCCGTGGCCCTTTTTAAAATTTTGAGACCAAAAAAAAAATTTTTTTGAGACAGGGTCTTGCCCGGATTTGGTTTGAACTTGTAATCCTCCTGCCTCAGCTTCCCAAAATGCTGGACTTACAGGGTAAATTTATTTTCTTACAGATGTTCGACAAGGACTGATAGGTGTAGGCCTGATAAATGTGGAAGATCGCTCAGGAATTCTTACTCTTGATAAAGGTAATATTGTTAATTTTTTCTATATACTTGTAATTGTTGCTATTATTAGTGAATCTTTTTTGTTACATGTGCTTTTTTTTAGCTAAGAGGAAGCTTCAGGTCGTTCTTTCTTAATCTCTGATATTGAGCACTCCAGGTAGTCTCAGCTGCGGTGGCTATTCAGAGGAGATTACAGAACAGCAGTTCTCAACCCTGGCTATACATGTGATCAGCTGTCAAGCTTTTTTTTGTTTTTTTTTTTTTTTTTTTTTTTTGTATCGGGGCTCAAACTCAGGACCTTATGCTTGCGAGGCAGGCGGCAAAACCACTGAGCTAAATCCCCAGCTCTGTTTTTTGTTTTTCTAGACAGGGTCTCACTCTGTAGTTCAGGCTGGCCTTGAACTCACTATGTAGCCCAGGCCATCCTGGTATTCATGGCAATCACCCTGCCTCAGCCTCTTAGAGTGCTGAGATTACTGGCATGGACCACCACACCCGGCTGTCAAGCTTTTATAAAATATTGAATCCAGGGAAGACTCTGAAACATTGATAGTTTCCCAAATCTCCCAGGAATTCCAGTTGTGCCGCCAGGATGGAAGGTCCCTGACTTGTACAGCACTTCACACTTTGAGTTCAGATTTATTGGGTAGGGGATTTAGCTCAGTGGCACTGTACCTCCCTTGTATGTACCAGGTTCTGAGTTTGATCCCCGGTACCAGGGAAAAAGAAAATCTGAGTTCAGATTTAATGTTGATAAACCTATCTTCTCATGTGCTAAATTGTGTGAAGTTGAAGATGCACAAAGTCAACTGAGCGAATATTTCTTGAGTATGTATTGCAGTGTAATGTACTACAGGTAGAAGTGGACCAGTGATAGCCCTGACAGAGTGGCAATACAAGAATCGGAAGGGAAGGCTATAGAAAAAAAGTGGATTTGAAGTTGGTCAGTTTGAATTTTTAAAAATGTTAATTACCACTTGAATGCATGAAATTGTGCATGTAATCTTGTTGCAGATTATAACAACATAGGAAAGTTCTTAAATAGAATTCTGGGCATGGAAGTGCATCAACAAAATGCGTTATTTCAGTATTTTGCGGACACACTTACTGCAGTTGTTCAGAATGCCAAAAAAAATGGACGATATGACATGGGAATCCTAGGTAAGTGGGAAAATGTAAAACTGTCACTTGTGTTCCTGATAGAAGTGTTCTTTTTACCTTATGTGTTGCTTTGTCTTTTTCAAGATCTTGGTTCTGGAGATGAGAAGGTGAGGAAAAGCGATGTTAAGAAGTTTCTGACTCCGGGGTATTCGACCTCTGGCCATGTAGAGTTGTACACTGTAAGTTTGGAAAGCGATTGTGTTCCTGTTTGGCATTTTGTGACGGGCATTTACAGAAGTGAGTGTGACTTTAAAATCTCGTGATTGCTTTCACAGATCAGTGTAGAGAGGGGGATGTCCTGGGAGGAAGCGACCAAGATCTGGGCTGAGCTGACAGGACCAGATGATGGCTTCTACTTGTCATTGCAAGTACGACTTCCCTTAAATCGTGTTTTTTTTGTTTTTTTTGTACCTGGGATCAAACTCAGGACCTTGAGCTTGTGAGGCAGGTGCTGTGCCACTGAGCTAAATCTCCGGCCCTTCCCTTAAATGTTAATTGTTAAGATCGTGCATGCCTTTCACTGTCAGCACTGTCATCTTTTTGCACTTTGTGCCGAGTTTTCAGTTGGGTTTGGCCTTCTCTATTGTGATAATTTATTCTTACAATTATGTGACCATTTACATGGATTTCCACTTAATTTATTTTGAGGGACGTTTAAGAGTCCTTTTTCAGGTTTTGTTTGTTTGATTTTGTTTTTTTAAGACAGGGTCTTGCTATGTAGTTTAGGCTAGACTTGAACTCACTGTGTAGCCAAGGCTGGCTTCACTTGTAATGATCCTCCTGCCTCTTCTTCCTGAGTACTGTGATTACAGCCGTGTGCCCCTACACCCAGCTTCAGTTACTAATACAACTGTTTGTGGTTGGGATTTGCTTGTGGCCAGAGCTGAGGGGAAATGTGTGCATACGTATATACTTGTACAAATAAACAGTACATGTACATACACACATCCATGTATGGTACAGGGTTTTCAGTTCATGTTTACTTGTGTTATTCACATTCAAAACTACAGAATTTTTTAACATTTCTCTGTAAGATTCTTGTTCTCCAAGATGAATGTAACCTGTTTTTGCATATATTTCCTTCAAAAAAAAAAGTTCTATTTTTGCATTGTCAGAGCATATAGCAATTATAAGGTGTACCCTTCCTTCTAGCCCTTATTTTGTCTTAGTTCTTTTTTTTGTTTTTTTTGGTACCAGGGATCGAACTCGGGACCTTGCACTTGCAAGGCAGGCGGCGGAACCACTGAGCTAAATCCCCAACCCTGTCTTAGTTCTGTAGTTCAATATGTGCCTGCTCACCATGCCTCCCCTTCACCTTACTGTTTCTCTGTCTTTGGTATTGTTCCATAGTGGACTGTGCAGCAAGAGCTCATGGGAACACTGCCCAAGTCCTGCCTGCTGACGAGTTGCTGCCCCTCACATACCAGTCACTGGGCATGCAATAGGCTGTTTTACAACACTGTTTCAAATTATTTTTTATTTTCAAAACTTGTTTTGTCATACTAGGGATAAAACTCAGGGGCTTTCAAGCATTCTGTCACTGAACTACATCTCCAGCCTTTTTTTACAGTTTTGAGACAGGGTCTTGCTACATTGTCTACACTGACCCTCAACATGAAATCCTTGTGCTTTAGCCTCCTAAGTAGCTGGGATTGTAGGTGTTCACCACCTTTAGTTATTTTTTAAAATTTTTAATTTAGTTTTTCCTGGTGCCAGGGATTGAATTTAGGACCTTGCACTCGTGAGGCAGGCGTGCTGCCACTGAGCTAAATTGCCAGCCCACCTTTAGTTGTTTTTAAGGATACAATTCACTGGGTACAGTAGTACACAGCCAGAATCCGAGCCATTCAAGAAGCTGAAGCAGGATGCTTGCCAAGATCAAGGCCAGCCTGGACAACTTAGTGAGAGCCTGTCTCAGATAAAGGGCTGGTGATATATACCCCAGTGCAGCATTTGCCTAACATTGGTTCAATCGCCTGTCCCAGAAGAGGGATGCAATTCACTGAGATGAATCACATTCCGTGTTTTCAACCATTACTGCTTCCTGTTTTCAAAACTAACACCCCAAACTTCTCCAAAGGGCCAGATAGATAGTAAATAAGTATTTCAGGCTTTGTAGGCTATGTAGACTATGTTCCTTCTGGGTGTTTTTTTCTCTCCCTTAGTGCCGTCTCCCCCCCCCCCCCCCAATTCTTCCCCCTTCCTTGAACTTTTTTTTTTTGGTGGTTTTTTGAGACAGAGTCTGCTATGCAGTTCAGGCTGGCCTCGAACTTGGAGTGATTCTCCTGCCTCAGTCTTCCAGGTGCTGGGATTATAGGTGTGTACCACCATGCCCAGCTTTAAACTGTGCTTAAGTTTAAGAGCCTCTGGCTAGATTTGGTCCAGGAGCCTAGTTCACTGGTTCCTGATCTGATGCCATCAAGACACCCAATTACTCATTGGGTTGTAGATGTTGGTTTTGAATTTTTCTTTTTCTCTCCACCTCTTCCTCCCCTTGCTCTCGTTTACCTATTTTATTCACCTTTCATCATAGATGCTGTTTTGATTGTTCCACATTGGATGTTGGTGGTGGTTTTTAATTTGAAACTGTTGCCAGAATGTAGCCATTGGTGGGTTGTGATTAAAGTTCTGCTTTCCTGCTTCCCTAGAATAGAAGGACGCAATGACACTGGGCCATTGTTTTCCTGCATGGCCACGGTGGCTGGGGAGGAGCCGTGGCTGAGAGGGGCTCCACTCCAGGACTGGGTGACTCCCCTTCTGGAAGCACACTCACAATGGTGTGTGTGGTGCATGCAGCTCCGAGGGAAGCAGTTGCCACCATCATGTGGATTTCCATCAGTCATGTTGAATTACCTGACCATTACAACTAACCTGACACTGCCAGGCTGCTTCATTCTGTGTGGTCCCATACTGTCTTATCAGTGGATGATGGAATGTTTCCATTCAACTGATTAAAAATTCAAAGTACACTGTTTCAGTTCACACATTGATAACTTTTAATGTTTCTTATCATTTGAACAAGTGAAAGACAAAGGGCCTTTTTGTTTTTGTTTGGTTTGGGTCCCCCCCTGCCCTGGTACCAGGGATGGAACTCAGGACCTTGCACTTACCAGGCAGGCATGGTGCCACTGAGCTACATCCCCGGTCCAAGGATCCCCCCCCCCCCCCGGCCAAGGATCTTTAATATCCACAAGGAGGAAATTAAAATGTTTACTTTTATCATTGTACAAATTACGCTTATTGAACCCAGGTTCTCACATATGCACTTTACTTCTGAGCCCCCCCCCTTTAAATTTTGAGACTGGGCCTTGCTGAGTTGCCCAGACCTACCTAGAACTTGCAGTCCCTCTATCTCAGCCTTCCAAGTAGCTGTGATTATAAGCATGGACCACCACACCCAGAAAAATTATCTTAATATAAAACATTAATAGCCAAGTATGGTGGTGCATGTCTGCAGTCCCAGCTACTTGGAAGGCTGAGGCTGAAGGATCACAAATTCAAGGGCAGCCTGGGTAGCTTAGTGAGACCCTGGGTCAGAATAGAAAATTTAGAAAGGGCTAGGAATGTAGCTTAGAGTAAAAGCTCTTCGTTCAGTCTCCAGTACTAGTAAAAGAAAAAATAAAAGTTAATAGGTCAGCAAACAGCGATCTGTTTTATAGAAGAAGTGAGGAAATGCCTTCATGGTGGTATCTTGGTTCATGAATACTTCGGTTGACAAACAGTTGCATTCACAAACAGAAGCATTTGACAGAATTTTGTTTTTATTTGCAAACTGCATCAGGTGACAAACATAATTGGTCATCTTTTTTTTTTTTTCTTTCTGTACTGGGGATGGAGCTCAGGACCTTATATCTGTGAGGCAGGCATGGTATCACTGAGCTAAATCCCCGTTTTTTTTTTCCAGTCCTTTTTTTTTTCTTCTTCTTCTTCTGGTACCTGAGATTGAACTCAAGACATTGTGCTTGCCAGGTAGGCTTGGCGCCACTGAGCTACATCCCCAGCCAGAACTGTGGCCGTGTTTCCCACAGAGACACAAACGTGGCTATCTTTTCCAAAATTGTAGAACAAATTAAGTTTGTGAACCAAAGTACTGCTGCATTTTGAAACTTTTTCCTTCAAGTTAAGTTCTAGAAGCCAGGTGCTCTGGTTTGCACCTGTAGTCCCACTTGGCAACATAGCAAGATCCCATCTCAATGAAAAATAAAACAAGCTGGACATGGTGGCACCTGCCTATAATCCCACCACTCTAGGAGCCTGAAGCGGGAGGATTGTAAGTTCAGGCCCAGCCTGGGCAACTTAGAGAACCTGTCTCAAAATGTAAAATGATTACAATTTGTTGTTTTTGTTGTTGTTGTTGTTGTTGTTGTTGTTTTTGGTACCAGAGATCAAACTCGAGACCTTGTGTTTGTGAGGCAGGTGGCGGAACCACTGAGCTAAATCCCCAGCCCAAAATAATTACAATTTTAGGGCCAGGGATTTAGCTCAGTGGTTTGGCTGCCTGCTGTGCAAGCGCAAGGACCTGAGTTCAATCCCCGGTACCAAAAAAAAAAAAATTACAATTTTATTTTGTTTTGATTTCTTTTATTTTATTTTATTTTACTTTTTGGTATCGGAGATCGAACTTGGGTCCTTGAGTTTGCAAGGCAGGCAGCAGAACCCCACTGAGCTAAATCCCCAGCCCATGATTACAATTTTATAAAATAATAATTCAGAAAGGGCTGGAGCTGCAGCTTAGTGGGAAAGCTCTGTGTTTAGTCCTCAGCACTTAGGGGGTAGCTATCTACATACATAGGCGAAGTTCCATCTCTTCTCTAATGCTTCCACTTCTGCATGTCCTTACAGCAAAACAGGGAAAGGTGATTGTAGGGCAGGTGGAAGCAGAGGTCCAGGGCCACCTGGATGGCATCTCAGAAGAGGTTAGATTTCATTGTAACTTAAAGGAAAATAACTTTTTTCAGATTTTATTATGAGGAATTAAGACATACAACAGAGACCTGATTCCTGCTACTTGAATTCTGAATATTAACATTTTATAACCCTTGATTTTTCTGCCTATTTAAGGCTCCTTGACTGAGTCCATGTACAGAGAACAGAAGGTAAAACTTTTCTAAGGAATACTGTGACCTTGAAGCTATATCATTAGCTAGAATTAAATAGCTGCTTCCTGGGTGCAGCCTTGTTACAGTGTGAGCAAAAAGTTGTCCTCCTTTGTCAAAGTCACATATTCATGCACTTACGTTTTTGGTGTTAGAATTATTTGACCATATTTGCTAATGTGATGCTATACAAACATGTTTTAAAATGTGTGGTGTCAAATCATTATATTTTGCCACTTTTTTCTCTCTGCAGATAAGGAACAACAAGAAAACTGCCATCTTAGTTAAAGAAGTAAACCCTAAAAAGAAACTTTTCTTAGTTTATCGACCAAATACTGGGAAACAGCTCAAATTAGAAATTTATGCTGATCTCAAAAAGAAGTATAAGAAGGTATTTATTTTTGTTGTTTTTTGAGACAGGGTCTCGCTGTGTAGTTCAGGCTGGCGTTGAACTCACTATGGAGCTCAGGCTGACCTTGAACTTGCAGTGATCCTCCTGCCTCAGCCTCCCTAGTGCTGGGATTGCAGCCGTGTGCCATCTGGCCAAGAAGGTATTTTCTTATTTGTACATTACACCACTTATAAATACTTGTTTTATGATACTGAAACAGCTTGGCACAATGACATGTGTCTGTACTCTTGGCTACTTGGGAGGCTGAGGCAATTTGAGCCCAGCCTGGTTAATGAGACACTGTCTAAAGGTAAGAAATGAAAAGGACTGAAGTTACAGCTTAGTGGTAGAGCACTTACTTAGCGTACATAAGGCCATGGATTCAATCACCATACGGCCAAAAGTGTTTGTTTGTGTGTATGGTGTGGTCAAAAACTATGATGAGTGCCTGAATTTTAAAAAATAATTACAATAAAAGAAAAATAGCCATTAATTCCCCTCCAGATACCCTCACTTTGAACACACCCTTTTGTTCTTGGCACTGTCTTTTACTATAAGTTTTTATTTAATTCAAGCATTCATCACTTTTTGTGATTACTCCTTGTATGTAGAAATCAGGTCAAGGATGGCTGCATCTAGATATAAAATTACTGTGTCAGTTTTTCTTACTTGATTACTGTTTAAAAGAAACCTTTCAGAACACTGTCACGCCTGTTATACTGATATCCTAGACTTACTGTTACCATTAAAAAACTAAGATAATGATTTGAAACAGTGTATGTTGTCAATGATGGTGGCTTTCAGTGATGACTACAACAGTTTTTCCCTTTTAAACAAAGGGAAGATGTGTGAGCCTAAAATTCCTTCCTACCTGAGTTTTATTGTGTACATGCTACCATGTTTGTATCTTTCAGTGATTTCTCAAAAATAGTAATAACTAGTTTTCTTAATATTATCTGTAGTTTTTATTCTTAGTAGTAGTTCCTTAAATTACTTTTCCTAGCTATTCTCATTTGAAAACAATTATAATTCACCAAGCCATTTGAAAAACAGTATAAGGAGGAAACAACAACTGTTTGAATGGCATTTGAATTGGGCTGGGCGTGAGAGCTGGGTTTTCTGAGTGGAGATGATTTTAAGTCGGCATCTCTGGACTGGTTTACTTAAAGCAGCTCTGTTGAAATGAAATTTTGTTTTATTTTCACAGGTAGTCTCAGATGATGCCTTTGTGCACTGGTTAGACCAGTATAATTCATCCGCAGATACTTGTACTCATGCTTATTGGTTAGTATTCCCCTGTTTGCTGCATTGTTTTCCAGAGTGCAGTCAGCATGCGAATGCACCTTCACTCTTTTCTGATAGGTCCTTGTGAGTAAGTAAGCAGGCGGGCGGCGCCTGGCATTAGCAACTCTGATGTTGTGGAGCAGCGCTGCCTGCACAGGTGGCCCTTGCTCTTGGCTTGTGCTTGGTCAGGATTGATGCTGATGCTGAGTCAGGAGGATTGCCAGTACTTTGAGCTGGGCTGCACAGTGAGTTCAAGGTCAGCCTGAACTACACAGAAGACAAAGAAAGAAAGTTAAAACTTAGAAGTCTTTAAGATAAAACATTTTAAAAGTTAATGTCTGATGTCCTTTGAAACATTTGCTTTGTGTCACAGCACAAAGCGTGCCCATATGTGTGCACTTAACTGTGTATGTTCCTCTTGATTTGTTGCTGCCCAGAGATTTTTCTGTTGGTGAATAATAACAATAATCGTGACCATAAAAAACTGATTCATCCCTTTTTTTTTTCCTCAGTTCTCCTTAAGTCTACCTATGTTTTTTTTTCTTTTTTTTTTTTTTTTTGGTCACTGAGGTCATTCCAACTCATCTGATTGAAAACAGTGTTATCAGCAGTTTAATAATATATAATACAGGTTGATTTTTGAAGCTGGCATTACTACAGTAAGATCGTGGATATTAAATGCCTAGACTTTTCCTTTTGAAATTTGTATGTCCCTGGAAATCTTACATGGAGGTGCGTGTGTATAAGTGAGCATAAGGATTTTTTCCTCCTGTCTCTCCTAGGCGTGGCAATTGCAAAAAAGCAAGCTTGGGATTAGTCTGTGAGATTGGTCTTCGCTGCCGCACATATTACGTCTTATGCGGCTCTGTCCTGAGTGTGTGGACAAAAGTGGAGGGTGTGCTTGCCTCTGTCAGCGGCACGAATGTGAAAATGCAGATTGTTCGGCTAAGGACAGAAGATGGACAACGGATTGTAGGTGAGTCTGTTTTTTGTTTTGCTTAATTTGTGAGGAAAAATCACATTCAGCCACTTTCACTTTGCTCCTGATGTCTGAGCTGTCTCCCACATCCATCTCCCATCTGCACAGCAGTGGGGCTCAGAACTTGCTCTATGTGTCCAATGGGGTAAAGTGGGTTGCCTGTGCAGGGATGTCGTGATCTGGCTGTAGTGGCCATAGGTTGTCCTTGTGGTGCCACACGCTTGTCCTATGCTCCCCAACCAGCCCAGGCCTCAGTTCAGCCCCTGTCCAGGCTCTGCACTGAGCCAGCTTGAAGCTATGGAGCACAGAGGATGTGCTGAGCCCCTCAGGCACCAGCCCTCCTGAGGATAGCCTGTGGGCCAGAGTCGGTCCAGGAAGGGGCTTTTTTTGGGGGGGCTCTCAAGTATTTTTAGTTGCAGCAAGTTTTTATTGGCATTAGCTGGCACATTTAAAAATGAAAAAACGAAGAGGTTGCGTGCAAAAGTCTGAATTTCCAGCACGTTCTAAAAGGCTGCTCTGGAGCGTTGCGTTCACTTCCCTCACAGCGGAGCAGATGCACCCTTCACTGGGCCTGTGCACGCCGGTGTGCTTCTCTCTGCTCTGTGCCCACTGTGAAGCTCCCTGCTTGGGTCAGCGCTGGAGTTGGCAACTCATGTGTGGGTCATTTGTGTATATGTACTTGGCGAACAAGGTGCTGTCTGCACTTTGTGGAACTGGGAAAGATGGTAGGTAGAAGAGCACTGTGCTGGACCCCTTCTTTCAGTAAGAAGGTGTCACACTAGTCACACTCATGTGCTTCGGGGTTGGTGGGAAACTGCTAAGGAACCAGCCTGCATCTTAATGCACCATTGCAGTTACTCAGCACTCATTAAATTTTTGTGTGAAGTTCTTATTTGTTAAACTTAAAATTACCTCGTTTGGAAACTGCTGTGAAGTTGTAAGGTGCAGTATGGTTTCTACTAGACGCAGCTTTGTAAGTTCTTGTTGCTAATTACAGGCTTGATCATTCCGGCAAATTGTGTGTCTCCTCTCGTAAATCTCCTGTCAACGTCAGACCAGTCTCAGCAGCTTGCGGTCCAGCAGAAACAGCTGTGGCAGCAGCATCACCCACAGAGCATCGCCAACCTGAGCAACGCCTGAAGGACAGACAGGTGTCAGCACGGGTCTGTCTGAGATGCTGTGGGAGCGTATCATTTGCATAAAAATCAGGGACAGTTTCCAAAGAATTATATATTTTTTTTGGTTGTGCTCTCTAGTTAATTTTTGGGGGAATAAGGACAAACCTGGAATAGGTAGCAAAACTGAAAATCAGCAGTGCCGATGGTAGTGTATGTGTCTTTCCTTTCGCCTCCCTGGGGCTTCTATTTGGGTGAGCAGAGGGGGATACACGCGCACATGCGCGTATGTGTGTGTATGTGCGCCTGTGTGTGCGTCGGTCTGTTTGTGTGTTTGTTAAAGGCTACAAACCACATCTGGTTTAAAATGCTTGGAACTTCCCAAACTGGCTTTACTTTTCTGTTACACAGTGCTCAGGGTTAATGCAGTACATTCATATCATTGCTGGGGGAGCTATCCCCAGATGCATGTGTTGAGTCTATAAATATAGAAACTATATATTGATTTCTTTTTCCAGCTTAAACAATAGGTTTACTAAAGCATGAAATGAAAGGCTGCATATCATGCATTCAGGTTCTTCTGTAGTTTTTGTTCTGACAGCGCATGTCTTTGAAAGCATGGGTAAACAAGATTAACACAGACATCAAGTATTGGAGAGAAGATTTGTAGATGTATAGCATTGGTTATTGCATTTTTATAGTGTTTATACCTGGGTGTTGCTTCTAGCCTTGCAGACCCTTCCCCCTCACTTCCCTGCCCCAGGTTTCTGTCAAGGTAACGAGTACATACTTTTTGTAATAAAACTCTTCAAAGTTAATTTTAATGTATTAATAGTATTCCTAACGTGTGCTGCAAAAATGGCTATAAGCCTGTTTTTCTTAAAAGTTACATTTTCCTTAACTTAAAGATAGTTTTAGAAGTACAGTTGGCTTCCATCTTGCAAACACTCTGTTTTTACTTCATTTCATTATCTGAAGTTTTTGTCACTCATAAACAGAAAACCGTACTTGAGTTGTAAACTAGAAATGAGGAAACACTTGAGGCTTCTGCTGTATGTTTTTTTGTTATTGTTGTTACCCAGTAACTTGAATATTGTTTCATGTGTTGTAAGACATTGTAGAGTTTATCTGAAACTGTTAAAAATGGTAATGTACAAATGTGAATAGACACTTATCTGTAACATGGGTAAGTTGTGTTTTGCCTATAATAGATCTGTATAAAAACAAGTGAGGGACAGTTGGTCTTTTCCTTTCATTTTTTTTTTTCTTTGCTTGCACGGGTTGCACTATTAAAATTGAGATTGTATAAACCTGGTCAAAAACTGCAAGGTACCAAAATCTTGTAGATGTTAAATAAAAAGTTGTCATCCTAACAAAGTGGACTCGTGCTTAGGTCCTCACGGGGGACTTCAGTTGTAGGCTGGAGGGGACTGCAGGGCTTGGTGTGGCCTCAGGTTCCAGGGAGTTGTAGAGTCTGCTTAAAACCTGCTCCTCAATTCTGAGGTGGTGTTGAGGAAGGGTAAAACGATATACTTCTGACGGTTTTTCAGTTTGAATTGTTCCCTTTGTAACTTTTTAAACTTCTCGAATTGGGGAAGAGGTCTAGTAAGGGATAGAATCCTGACCCAAATTTAGGTCTTTCATCCGCTTGTGTTTCTTTAGCTCTGACTTTGGTGAAGTTTATCCTGTTTTCTTTGGATTTATTTTTTCTTGGTGCCTAAAAGAACAAGTTGAGACTAATTTCTGTTTTGGGGCAATGTTTTGCCCAGAAGATGCAGCTTTTATCCTCGGTCCAGTCTGTGCATCTCAGGCAGTGATCCTTAAGAACATCTCCCGGTGTCTGTCCCTTGTCAGGACCACTGACCAGCTCCAGCTGCAGCCAAAGCCTCCCAGTTGGTGCGTTTGTATGTAAACGGGTGTCCTGCTGGCGACCTTCAGCAAGTTAAGGTGAAGCCGAACTGGGGAAGGGAGGCATAAAGAGCTGCTCCTCTGGTGAGACCCAGTGGGGGATCAGGACAGATCCTCCTGGGCCGCTGGCCCAGCTCCCTTGTGTGTGTGTGTGAGGGTCTCTGTCCAGTAGGCTCTGGTTCCCCCAGCCCAGGCTATGCTGTTGTGTTTGCGCTTAAGGGGCTGGAGTGTGTGGTCTTTGTAGAATTGAGGCACCTGAAAGCCCTTTCGAAGCAGACTTTCCAGAGGTGAGCAGTGTGGATGGGCAGGGGCCATACCCCTACACCCTTGGTGATGCTTGTGCAGCACTCAGGGCCAGTGCCTGCCCCTCCAGAAGTGAATACCCGATGTCTACATTGTGCCCTGTGAAAGCCAGCGAGCCTGAGTCGGCCACCAGGGAGCCCCAGCACAGGGCCCACTTCTGTCAGAAGCCCAGGTCTTGACAACAGCCAGCTTGTACAGAACAGGTCGGTCCTCTGCAGGATCCAGATCCAGATGCCACAACTCCACCCAGAGGCCTTGTTTAGCCCAGCAGGAGTCCACGTGGCCTCCGCAATGCCTTTCCTCCCTCTTTAGCAATACGGCTCTGAGCCTGCACATTTGCTTGTAAATCATGCCTGTGTTTTCAGAGTGTACAATGACGATTGTACCAAAAACCACTTGTGAGTCCAGAGCTGCTCAGATGTCCCCGGGGCAGTAGTGTCCCCTCAGCAGCAGTCTCCCTCCATGGGGTCTCTGCACTCGGTGGTGGGAGTTCATGAAAGTATTGAGGAAGTGTTCCTTTGAACACAGTTTGATCAAAAGTAGGTAGGCTAAGCAGTTTTCTCTTTTGGCTACTAAATTGTGATACATTCTTCAGTATCTTCTCTCTACTGTGTATATGAATTAACAAGAACCTGCATCCAAAGCACTGAAGTAGGCTGTGTTTGTATGTGCGTGTATATATATATTTATATTTATTCTTGGTTAATTAGTACTTCACGAGTCATTTTGGGTTGCAACAAAAAACCTTTTTAGTTTGCTCTGTCTGTAGAGGCAGAAATTATAGATTAGCAAATCCCTTGAGAATATATTTTTGGCCTTAGCCTGTGGAACATTCATGTGTCAGTCTCCACGTGATGCTACTCGAACAACTTCTGACAGGCAAAAGGAAGAGGGTACCAGGACTCCATGTCCTGTTGTGTAATCAGAGCATTGTTTACCCTCCTTCCACTTTCCAGTTTAACATGAAAACAAGAGGCAAGAGATTAGGAATTACTTCTGCGTCTCGATTTAGGAAAGCAGGGGCAGAAGTTTTCTTTCAGTCCTCTTCTTGGTAAGTTATTAGAGGACAGAGCCTTAATCCAGTTATTCTCACTTTACAAATGTCCGTGAGTGGTACTGGGCGGCTCTAAGAAGGGTGCTAGGAAGAGCCACCGTTAAGACAGGGACCCGGAGAATGGAGGTGAGCCCAGACGCCCCCTGCAGCACATTGCCTATCCCTCCCTGGGCCTGCGGTCTCCCTGGCTCCCAGCACACCTGTGTACACGCCCATGTGCTCAGAGGTGGCAGGCATTCCATGTCAGGGCTGCAGTGGAGAACACCGTTTGCAGAAAACCTCCTCATGCAAGGCCAGTTGTCTGATAGAAGTGCAGTGTGTTTTAAGTGAAAAAACCACATGTAGATACCTGCAGCTCAAACTAGCTAGCAATTTTTTTTCTGCGTATATTGGTGAAATCTGGAACCTACTTTCTAATTGTATGCTGTACTTATATATATGTACATTAATATGTATATAGAGAAATGTAAGTTCTTTTGAATTCGGAATGTAAATATTTCTTGTAAATTGGGACCCCACCCACTTATTTTTCCCTTATCCCTCTTCCCTTTACTCCTATTTATTCTTTTCTTGACTTCTCATATGGGGTATTTCACTACTTTTTTTTTCCTGCTTAGGAAAGTATGGGGAACTTAGTTGAATTTGTTCTTAGCTCTCAGTTTCACATCTTTGCTGTACAGTACCTGTCTGTTCCAATATGCTTGATTATGCACTGCATTTTTATCACGATCTCGTCTGTGTGCGAGACGTAGTGGAGGAGTGCACTGGAGTGCCCTTTACGTGGTGGGGTGATGTTCCGTTCTGTTCATTATGTTGTTCTCTGGAAGCCACAGTGAGTCTGACATTTTCCTTCCCTTTTTTTGGTCTCCCAAGACTTCATGAAGCTCCTGTAACTTCTTCAGTGCATTTGGGATCAAACTTAGCTCTTGAGGAAACTTGACTTGCTCCTTCCTTTGCAGTTTTTCAGTCCTGCACCAAATCTCTCAGGTTGGATTTTCCGCCTAACGGGGACATTTTGCAGATTAGAAACTGAATCACTTTTCGTAGCCCGCTGCTGCAAATTCCCTATGTTAATTTAAGAAGTTGAGCCTGTACTTTTAACCCACATATAACAATCACAGATTTATTTTGCAGCTGATGCACGTAATCAGTCTGCTTTGCCTCTAACTTGTTTAAGGGTATTTATAGCAGGCTCCCTCCCGGTAGGTGATGGACAGGTGACATTGGAGAACACGTATGCTGTGGGGCCCTGAGCACCCAGGCTGGCTCTGGCGGAGGTCTAGTGGGCGGTTACCACTGAGGGCCGGCCAGTGTATCCCCTGAGCCCTGCCCTCCTCCCTCTGCTGGGGACTTCTTGGCAGAACCAGCCAGGAAACAGCCTGAGTTGGGGAGTGGCACTCTGAATGATCTGTGTTATCAGTAGGGAGTGGTGGCCAACACCCAGGAGGAAAACATTGGTTTGTTGTTTGTAGATTTGGCACCTTTAAAAAAATATTTCTGGGGGCTGGGGATTTAGCTCAGTGGCTCCGGTGCCTGCCTCACAAGTGCAAGGACCCAAGTTTGATCCCTGGTACCAAAAAAAAAAAAAAAGAAAAAAATTCTCTATAATTTTCCAGAATGACTTGAGAGCATTTCTTGGGCCTTTGATTCATGAACAAGTTCCGTTCATTAACATTCAACCTGGTACACTTACTTGTTGAAACTTTCAACGTGACCTACCTTTGGATAAGTCTCAGGAACTTGATTTGCCATGAATCAGGGCCAGTCACAGTTCCTCAGCAGCAGCCCTTCCCAACCCAGCTCTGTGAGTGGACCGATACCCATGGAGTCGTTGGCCTGTGGCATTTGCAGTAGCGGCAGTGAGGGCAGTGTGATGCTGAGATGTCCCGTGCGTAAGTCAAGCAAGGGAGGGTGCCCGGGCGAGTGGGTTCAGGACAGCTTGGGGCTGGAGCACAGTCTGCAGGTCCCGCGGGGAGAATGTGCCTGGCCTCCCTCAACCCAGACCGCATCCCAGTGCCTGTTCAGGCCTTGGTGACACGGCCAGGGCACTCTGAGGGCCTTTCAGGCTGTAGCAGTGTTTGGCACTGAAGAGATTAGAGAAGCTTGAGCCTTCCCCTGCCGCCTCCTTTCTGTGGCAGAGAGTCCTTTTTTTCTATTTAACACACTGCAGTCACCACAATCAGGAAAAATCATCCTGTTCATGGTTTATACTAAATTTGCAAACTACTGATACTATTTTTCAACAACCACTTGTATCTACCATCAACCATGAGAGGTGGGAAGAGTTATGCTGTATCTCTGCAATAAAACTTTTGCCAGGTTCTACCTCCTCGAGCAAAGGCTGTTTTCTACATAGGTGTAGACCTTCCTCCCTGACTACCCTGACTGGTGCGTCTCAACATCGTCCGGTGGAACCCAAAGACCATCCAAAGCAGAGTGGCCACAGACTCTCGGGGTGTTGTGTTCCCTGCTCTTCAGCCTCCCTCTCGCATCGCCGCTCTGTCAGGAGTGTCTTCTGCGTCCTCTGCCGCACTGCTGCCTTCCTCTGCCGTCCGAGCAGCGTGAGCGCTGGAGCGAGTGTCCTGCCCTTTTGATACGGAACTTTCCTGAGTACTGGTCTCATGCAATAACAGCGTGTGCGGGCTGCATCCAGCAGGGTTCACTCTTGCAAGGAAAAACCATCACCCATGAAGCGTAACAAGTTCTGTATTTAGGTTTCCATTGTGGTTTTCATTTTTTGTTTGGGGTCTTTTTGGTTTTGTTTTTGTAAAATTCTTAAATAAATTAAAGAAAATAAATCTGCTCTTCTCTGTGTGTGCTTTTGGTGAGGGTTTGGTGGCCCCGTTGGCCTGTGTCATTGCCACCTCGCCTCTTTCCCCTGGGGAGGGACATGTGTTTTTATGCTGCCTGGTGTTTAGGGTAAGTTTATAAAGGATAGCGAATGTGCCTGCCTCGGTTGGTACTGCCCCCTTTGCTGCAGTCCTGTCACTATGAGGCCACCAAGTGGAGGCCGGCTCCCAGTGCTGAGCCGGATGGGAAGCCGAGCCAGCATTGATCCTGGTGGTTGCCTGGCACCTTCGAGTGTGTCTGCATGTCTGCAGCCCTTGCTCTTTTCCTGGTTGGCAGAGGGACTTCCTTTGCTCATGTGCTCTGAAAGCCCTTTCATTTTCTAGATTTGATAGAATTGGTGCCATATCATTCATTTATTCCTCAAGTGTTCCATAAGCAGCTGTGGTATGTCTGACATTGGGCCCCAGCAGTCCCAGTAGAAATTATTCATGGGCAGTTGGCCTCATGGTGGGGACAGTGAGCGAAGGAGGCAGTAAGACTCGGTAAGTCGTAGCCAGTTGTGGTAATGCACGCCTGTAATCCCAGTCTTCTGGGAGGCTGAGGCAGGAGGATAACCAATTTGAGCCCAGCGCAGGCAATTTAGACCCTGTCTTGAAAAAAAGGGTGGGATGGGGATCCAGGTCAGTGTGAAAGCCCTGGACTTGGTCCCCAGCACTGGGGCAGGGGGGATTCGTGTCCCAGGAATTGGGAGGAAAACCCCAACAAGGGCCTGGCGAGGGGCTCTTGGAGGAGGTGGCTGACCACTGAGTGACCCCCAGAAAGCCGTGTGCCGCGGGCTTGCAGGTCCCTGCTGCTTGGCTGAGGCTTGTGCTAGATAAGTGAGGGTTGGCTCAGAAGCTGGCTCCTGCCACCAGATGGGAAGCCGGAGACCTGGGACCAGTGGAAAGAGCACAGGAGTGAGTGGCTTGTCACGGCGACTGGAGACGTGCGTGTGTTTGGGGAGGCCGAGGCTTCTAGTCCTCCCTGCGTGCCCAGAGGGTAAGTGCTGTCACCCCTGTTGCCTTGGGTCTGGCAGCCTGTGGGGCTGGTGCCTGCTTCCGGCCACATCAGGGGGTGGGCGGCCCCCAATGGTGAAGTTTTAACACTTTTGATTTTGGTTTTTTGAGAGAGGGTCTCTCTATATAGCCCAGGCTGTACTCAAACTCTCAACGATCCTCCTGCCTCAGCCTTCAGAGCGCTGGGGTTACAGGTCTGTGCTACTACGCTCAGCACTTTAACAGTGTTTAGGGCGTATCTGCAAGTTTCTCTGTGGTGTTTGAAGTGCTGGAGAGAACATTAATTTGTATCTTAAAATGCTTAGGGAGTTAAATGTGTAAATGTTTTGGTATTTTTTTTTTTTTTTTGGTACCGGAGATCGAACTTGAGACCTTGCACTTGCGAGGCAGGCACCGGAACCACTGAGCTAAATCCCCGGCCCTTAAATGTGTGAATGTTAGTATTTGGGGGGAATTTAATCTTTCATATAGATGAGATAACTATTAATTGAAGATGAAAGGGAATATTTAAAATTTTAATGAAAAATCAACTAAAATGCTTGTAAGTTGAGTGTGAAGACTGAAAGGAAACTTAGATTTTAAAATATATAACCAGCCAGATGCGGTGGCCCATGCCTGTAATCCCGGCACTTGGGAGGCTGAGACAGGAGGATCGCCTGGGCTGCATAGTGAGTTCATGACCAACCTGAACTTCAGCAAGACCCTCTCTCAGAAAGACACAAACAAGAAGTGTAACCTTAATTTGAATAGGAAATAAGTTTGTGGCCAGCCTGTACTACATAGTGAGACCCTGTCTCAAAACGAGGGACCAAACTTTACAACCTCCACCATCCTCATTGAGTTTTCCTGCTATATACCCAGTTGGCTTTGACCTTCCTTGTTCCCTTCGTTCTCTTTTTTGTGTTTCTGTTTTTTTGAGACCAGATCTCAGTAGTCCAGGCTGGTGTTGAACGTGGGGCAGTCCTCCTGCCTCGGCCTCCCAAGTGCTGGGATCAAAGGCGTGTGCCATCATGCCCACAGACCTTGCTCCCTTCATTTTTCTCTCAGCCCCAAGTCAAGTTCCACCTCCCTGGGGCTGCCCTGGGCAGAGCAATATTGGCATCTGGCTTGGAGCATGCTTTGGAGGTGACAGGCACTGAGGGGCGTGGAACATCCCCAGGAGCTGAGCCCCGCCCCATTTCACAACCGGTGTCCTGTCCTGGAGGTCTCCCTGTGTGAGGACCACTGCTGTAGGCCCACGAGTCACAAGCAGGAGGAAGCGCATCATGTTCGTGGGCACAGGCACGTTACCAGGACCAGTCCTGTGAACAAAGGTACCACCCCTACTTGCAGAAGCCCGAGTGTTAGCAGGCTGGCGGTGCCATTTCTAAGTATGAATATTTATCAGCTAGTCATTTGGGAGCATGATGTAAAGGAGCCATCTGCGGAGGCCTTTACGGAGAGAGAAGCTAAAAGAAATGTGCAAAAGGCTTATTTTTAGAGCCCCGTTCCCTGCGAGTTGGCTTGGTCCTCGGAAAGCTGCCCACTCTGGTGTCAAGTGCAGTACTGGCTTAGGCGGCAGGTGCCACGCTGTGGGTTCCAGGCAGGTCCTCGTGGCAACATGAGTTTCCACCGGGTGTCATGTGGAGGTGACGGCTGGGGTCCAAAGCATCAGAGTGCTCAGCTTAGTCCTCCCACTGGACACTTGCTTGAATCAGCACGTTTGGCCCGTGACAGGGACAGTGGGCAGAGGAGAAGAAAGACACCATGAGGACTGGGCTCCTCCCGTTCTTACTGCCCGGCCGACTTTCTCTCCGCCTTCGCCGGGCTGGTGTGAGCCCTTCATTCCCAGACAGGTCCAGACCAGCATAGTTTATTGACTGTGGTAGGCTGGCAGTCCTTCAGGAGCCTGAGTCATTTCAGCGTGAGGGTGGGCATGGTGGTGCACACCTGCTATCCCTGCTGCTCGGGAGGCTGAGGCAGGGGAATGCAAGCTTGAGGCCAGCCTGGGCTACCTAGCTAGCCGGTGACAAGACAAAAGATAAAAGGGTGGAGATGTAGCTCAGCAGAAGGGCACCCCTGGGTTCCATTCCCCTTGCTCCAGAAAAAGAAAAAATTGGCCAACTTAGGGTCCTCGGGTCAGATTTGGTTCACCACATTTTTGAATGGCTTTGCAAGCTAAGAATAGTTTTTGCATTTTTTAATTTGGGGGTCGGGCATTTGAGACAAGGTCTCCCTATATAACCCAGGCTGGCCTCAAATTCATGGCATTTCTCCTGCCTCAGCCTCCAAAGTGCTGGGATTATAGGCATGCACCACCAGTTCTGGGTGGTTTTTAACATTTTTACATGGTTTTGTAACATGAAAATTATGTGAAATTCAAATTTTAGCATCGTCATAAAGCCACTTTGGAATGCAGCTGTGCCCATTCTGTTGGAGATTGTCTCTGGGCATCTTGAGCTGCACTGGAGAGCAGTGTGGTTATGAAGACTCTGCCTCTGGGTCCTCAGAACACAACTGGAGAGGTGGGAATTGGAGAGCAGACCTCTGAAGCCAGCACAGTGCCCTGGGGCCCCAGCTGCCTAGAAGGGTGGGATGGGCCTGGACGCTGCCATGAGACCCGTCTCTTTAAAGAAAGCCAGAAGGCTGGGTGCAGCTCAGCGCTACAAAGCTGGCGGAGCAGCCTGAGGCCCTGGGTTCCATCCCCAGTGCAGAATAAGACTCCAGTCGAGGCTGCAGTGCAGTAGGTACAGCATGTATGGCTAGGGTGCTCCAGCCCTGGGATCAGTCC